TGTTCACAGGTCCCAGAGTTCTTTGAAGCTCAGAGTTGGCAAACCTGGGCCTGAAGGAAGGAAAAGAGTAAGCGCTTATCATACACCTGTGGGAGGGCTACGCATTGGACCAGGTGTCGGACGCGCATTTTCTCAGGTAACCCTGAGACTGGCCTGTGAGAAAGGAGCTGCTGCCCCTGCTGTAGATGAGAAGCAGGCTTCTCCAGGTGCGACAGCCTTCCCCAGGAGCTTAGCCCAGCTGGGGAGTCACTCAGGGCTGCAGAGTCTCCCCTTGACCACAGACCTGCATTTGGATTTTCCTCTGCATTTGCTGCAGCTGCTGCAGGCTCCTGTTAACCACAGAAACCATGATTTCTGGAGGGAGAACGGGAAAAGACTTGGCCAACCCCCCTGACAGTTTGGATTTGCCATGCTGGCCAATGGGGACTGGCAGCTTCCAGATTAGACATAAATCTCACCAGGCCACAGTTTCTTCATCTGAAAATGGAAATATGAATGGTGGCAGGGAAGGCATGGTTAGAAAGATGTAACTCCGTGGTCACTAAGTTCCCTCCTTAAGTACTTTGCCTGCAATTTAGAGACACTGCCACCAGGGGGTGAGCTGAACTAGGAATACAACCATGTGGTGCTGGTCAACTGCTGGATCGCCACCCTCCCATGGTACTCAGAGCAGAAATTATGAAACCGGTTCTGAGTCACAGAGGAAAGGGGGCCCTACCTGCACGGAAGGATGAATGACTTCTCCACTGTGTGAATTCGTGCTACTTAAGATCTGGTCCCTGTACCTCCTTGAAACTTGAGTCACTAGGAATTCCACCATCTAGGGATCTCAGAAGAATGAAGACCAAGGAACACTGTTGGAAACAGCATCACGGAGACTAAGACCTTATTTAAGTTTTAAAAATGTATGCTTGTTTTATTTTGCTAGGATTACAGCTTCTCTGTCTCCAAAGTATCCAATATTTAATTTAAAGGAGTTCCTCTTAATGTTCTGAGATAAAACCTTCAACTAAGGCAAAGTGGTGAAGCTCATATTATTTGTTCATCGATGTCAAAATCAGAATTGCTCAACCCCCCTGCGTTCTGTTACTCAGCCTCCCTTTCCGGCATTGACGTTCTCCCAGTGGACATTTTGGCGGTTTTCTTTCTTGCATGCGTTCTCTCTCTCTCTCTCTTGCAGTTATAGAAAGCAAAGTCAGGTTTGCAAAGGGCTAAGCTCACTCTCATGTGAAGTTGAATCCTGCAGCATCCTCCAAACACACCTTCCACACTCTCATAACCATGTCCCTGAGCAGCAGAATGGCTGCGTGGGGCCCTTTTGAAGGCAGGACAAATAGTACGTTTCCTACCCAGGGCTCATTCTGCAGATCGCTGTCCCCACCCTCTGTGCTGCACTGTGAGGTCTTTCTGTGCAGTGCGTGTCGATGTGGCTCATTCCTTTCCACGGCTGTGCATTACCCCATCTGTCCGTTCCCCCACTCACAGACCTGTGCGTTGCTTTGCAATGGCAAACAGTGCCGCCATGACTCTCTTTGTACGAGGCTCCTGGTGTGCATGTTTGAGTTTCTCTACGCTACATGGACATAGAACCTCAAGTTACAAGATATCATTTCAATTTCGATAAATGCTTCCTTGCTGTTCTGCGCTCATAATTCATCGAGGGTATGAGAGTTCCCATTTCCATCCTTCTCACCTACCCTTCAACAAGATGAATTTATTGTTTTAATTTGCATCACTCTGATTGTTGAGGATATTAAGCATCCTTTCAAGTCTTCGGTGTGGTTTCTGCAGTCACTATTAACCCTTTATGTTCCCACTGGACTGTGAGCTCCAGGAGGAGGGCGGGATCTCACATCTGAGGCCCTACAGGGCTCTGGCAGCCCCATCCGAGTGTAGATTCTCTTTCTGCTTTCCCAACCTGACCTCTGTGCCTCACCTTGGAGTTTCACTCTCCAAGCTCAACACACTCCCACCCTGCAGCTCCCCAAATATGCCATGCCGGGCTTTTGTTCACACTGCACCCTCTGTCTGGAATGCTGTGCCTCTCCCAGTCCACCTGAACGCACGGACTCGTGCCCCAAGACTCATCTCAGGAGCCACCTCCTCCATGAGGTCCTCTATGACTACCAGCTGCTGCCCCACCCCAGGTTGTCTTCTGTGCTTTCGTTGACACCATATGAACCTCCCACTGCAACGCATCTTCCCACTGGACTCTGGACACACAGAAGACAGGTGCCGTGTCTTACTCTTCTCTGAACTCCCACTGAAATACTGAACAGGGCGAGCAGAGAGGGCAGGTGCACAGGGCATGTTCGTCGGGTGGACGGGTGATCCTTAGGTCCAGCTTCTCCCACGTCGGTCTTCTACAGGGGGACAGGGACTGCAGTAGACTCACATCACTGTCCCCACAGCACCCAACAGGGTCATAAGTTAGTGGCACTGGCTGTGTATTTGTTGACGTGACTGCATGATTGCCTGGTGGCGTAGAAAAGGGCTCTCCCAGAGTTTTAGTTCCAGCTTCCTGTTGGTAGAACCTCGGGCAACTTGCACAGCCTCTGCCAGCCTCCGTTCCTTCACCTTCGTGAGGAGGACAGGGACAGCCCTGAGGACGGGTGTCGGGATGAGAAGAGGTTGTGCTTGTGAAGCGTTCGGCACATTATGTGCATCTGGCGTATTACAATTTCTGTGTCCAAACGGTTTGGGGTTTGCTTTGGCTGCAACACTCTGGGTGGTGAGGCGGATCCTGGCCTGCAGGATCCGTGTATGTTGTGGCTGCTAGTGAACAAATACACACGGACAACAGAAGTCCTGTGGAGAAAACAGGACAGCATGGCCACTCTCGGAGAGAGAGGGCGAGAGGGCCAGAGGCCCCTACCTGGACAGGCCTTTATTGCTTTTCTGGGTACATTACATGGAGGATGGTCCTCACTTACTATGCACAGGTTCGCTGTAGATGATTACCTTTTACATTCAACAAGGAAAAGAATGTTGCTAATTCCTTCAAAGAGAAGGATGTTTCCAATACAAGGGAAAAGTGGTCGAACTGGTCACACTCCACACTTGGGAGGTTTAGCACAGACTCTAGGAAGTTACAGTGAGCACTTTCTGCCTCAATTCAGGGTGAGGGAGTTTTAGCAAAAGCCTCGTAGCAGTGCAGGTACAATGCAGGCCTGATTCCCCATGGGAGAAACTCTCCGTGGGCGTGGTCCTGCGTGCCACTCGCTCCCCACTGGTTTTCCACGTGGAGGCTGAGCTACATTTCCACACCATGTGAAGCAGTTCCCTGCAGGGAGCCTCGTGTTTTCAGATGTCCCATGTGCTGAGCCGGTAGCAGCTACTCAGTCAAGTCTGGGTTTTCCAGAACAAGAGCAGCGTCTTGCGGAAATTAGGTTCTCAGTATGGAAGTTGAGCTGAGCACACCTTGCACATACGTCAGTGTGATAAATAGTAAATCAGGCTAAATTCACTCTGTACTCATCCTGCCCCACCTACCTTTAAGAAGTCATTTTGTTTGTGGGAAGAGGGCCAGGCCCTCTTCTCCGGGCAGTGATCCTGTTTGACTTTTCCAAAGTGTGATGGTCACTGTGGTAGACTCCATGGTGGTCCCCAGGGAACCGGTCCTGCCCACAGGAAACCTCCAGGTTGTCCCCTCCCACTAGGCTTGACCACATGACCTTCAGACCACAGGGACATCAGCAAACCAGTGCAAGGAGTGATGAGTTCTTTCACATTGACTCTTGTCCCCTTGGAAGGCTCCTTCTTGGAACCCAGTCACCATGCCAGGAGGAAGCCCAGGCTGGCCGGAGAGCGGTGCCTGGCCCGCCCCCAGCTGTGGAACTCCAAGCTGAGGTGCCTGGTACGTGAGAGAAGTGGCCGTCTTCACCGCATGTGCCACGTTAAGAAATGAACCATACCAGCTGATCCCTCGCCCTAACTGTAATCATAAGCAAATAAATGGTTGCTGTTCATTTAGGCCACTAGGTTTCGGGGTGGTCTGAAACACAGCAAAGACCCCAGCAGTAGAGCACGTCAGTGACCTGAGGGTAAGGTCCACGCTGGCCTGGAGCCCCAGTGGGTAGCAAGCTTCAGGGACACATGACTGTCCAACCCGAAACCCTGTCTCTAGGGCCCTCTTCCCTGGGGCCTGGGTCCCTACCTGTTGCTACCAGGGGCCCTTATCAGTAAAGGGTAAGGTTAGCTCTCTAAAGAGAGCATCTTACACATGCTCACAGTATAAGTCCAGAGGCTCCTGGCCAGGGGAATGGAGCCACTCAGTGAGGGCCCTGGGGGCCCCAGATTGTGCAGGACCCAGGTTGTGTCTGCCAGGAGCAGTCTGGGGTGTGTGCTTCCTCACCCAGTACCACAGGAGGGAGGTGCTCTGGGCTCTCCTAGTAGAGAAAAGAATACCCAGAAGGCAACACACACACACACACACACACACACACACACACACACACACACACACACTTCCCTCACATCTCATTGGTCAAACTGAGTCACTTGCTCCTTTCTGACCCAATCACTTGTGTAGAGGGAGGGGTCAGAATTACTGTGAGATCAATCAAAACTACCCCTGGATTGCAGGGCGATGTGACCAATTCCTCTGAAGTCCCTGGGCTCCTAGGGAGGTCATGGGTGTCTGGAAATAACTGGGGTTCCACTAGGAAGGGCACACAGGTCAGATCCAGCAGTGTCTGCCATAGGACGCCTCCACAAAGGGCAGGAGAGAGAAGCCTGCAGGCTGGTCCCCAGACAGAGCTCCGCTGAGCTCCCCCATCCTGCCCTGGAATTATGGCGGAGGCAGGGGTGTGCGTGCGTGCGTGCGTGCGTGTGTGTGTGTCTCTAGGGGGACAGTTGGGTCCCTCGAGGCTTCTGTGCTCCCCCGGCCAGCCTCCCCAGCACTGCGCGCGTTGGCCCCCACCCCACCTCAGCACGAAGAGCCGCACCACGCCAGGGGAGAAGGGCTAGATCTGCGCCTTTTTTTTTATTGTTCACTGTACTGTTAGCACTCTCTCTGAGTCCAGGGCGCCGCTTCTGGGTCGGATTTAGTACTTCGAGGTCTTGCTCTTCTCTCCGTATTTCTCATCCAGTGCTTTCTGCAAGTTCATGTTCATCGCGTTTTTCTGGTGCCACCGTCCTGCAGAGAGCAGGGCAGACGCCAGCATTGATCACTCCGCGTGCCCCCAGGACCCGTGGTGGCCCAGGCCCACCGCCCACACCCAGGGCCCTCTCTGCTGCTCTGGTATCTCTCCAGACCTTGGGCCCAACACACACCCCAGCCGGGGAGGGGAGCGCCCCCCCCCCGCCCCCCCCCCCACCCCCCGCACACCCAGGTCGTCCGTCTTCCTGCCGTGCCAGTGCTCTGCGTCCCGCACCGACTTCTCCAGCACCTCCGGGGTGTAGGAGTCCTTCATGAGGCTCTTCACCGCCTCCGGGGCCCCTGTGGAAGGCCACGGAGAAAGCCCAGAAGCCCCAAGTCAGCGGAGGCCAGCCGCTCTGTGGCCGCAACGGGAGGTCCGTTTCCGCTGTGCAGGGCGGATTGTGGGCGAGTGGGGAGGGCGAGGCAGAGGATGCCAGGCCCTGGCTCCACCCTCTGTGGCCTGCGTGGCCTCAGAGAAGTCTCTCACCTCGCGGAGCTTTGGTCTCTTTACCTCTTCAAAGGAAGAACATGATCTTGCATGTGGCCATTACCACCTGTATTTTCACAAGATTCATTTCTACGTCTAAAGGTAGAACACCCGGGAGGAAATAAGTTACCACGATAAAGAGTCGGCAGAAACATCAGAGGGGCCAAATCCCAAAAGACAGCGAGATTCAAACGATCGGCTACAGAGTATAAAACAAGTATATTTAATGTTGGGAGTCATGAAGGAGAGTAAACACATAAACAAAGAAGAAGAAAGTGCCCAGAAAGAGCAGATTAGTAGAAGAAGCAAATGGACTAGCAGAAATGAAAGACAAAACAATTGAAAATTCGATGAATAATAAGAGGCCTGAGATTTCTTTGAAGTGATCTGGGGTGGGGTGGATGGCGGATGGGAGAAAAGATGAAACCAGGTTGGCCATGAATCTCTGTCCATTAAGCTATTCTCTCTCCCTTTCTCTAAGTTTAAAATTAGCATCATAATGTTTGAGAACAAAGTCAGTGCTCGGGTAGAACAGCAGATTAGATACAGCTGAGAAAAGAGGTTAAACCCGAACGAGTAGCTAAAGAAATTAACTGGAATTCAGCACACAGGGGGAAAAAGATGTGGAAAATGTGAAAAAGCTGTTAAATGAAGGTTAACCGTGAAGGCCTAACATACATCTAGTTGGCGTTCTGAAGGAGTGACCAGGGGAAATGGGGAGAGGCGATATTTGAAGATAATGGGTGGGATCTTCCCAAAATTGATGAAATATTTAAATCCTTAGATTCAAAAATCATATTGTAATTCTCCAACCAGCATAAGTAAAAATAATTCCTTACTAGGCATAGCCAACTATAATTTAAAACACCAGAGATGAAGACATTTTAAAAGGAGCCCTAGAGAAAAGGCAGATTACTTGCGAAGAATAACAATAAATCCGATCGCCATCGAAACCGGGAGGAGGCGAGTCAACACCCTTGAAGGGCTGGCAGAGGACAGTCGTCCACCTGGAACTGTTTACAGTGACTGCTGGCTAAGAATGAGGAGGAGACAGACTTCTGATGGGTCTAAAATCTACCAGCAACAGAATCTAACCAAAAATATCTAAACAACATATTGAAAAAAGAAAATAAAAATGATCCCAGAAGGAAGACCTGAGATACAAGAAGAAATGGTAGGAAAAAAAAAAGGAAACCTTGCATAAATCTAAATATACATCAGTTATAGTAAGAGTAGAATGTCAAGTGCATGGAGCAAAGTGGTGAGGGCAGTGACGGCCAACCATGTGCTCAGGACCTAGTTCTCAGAGTCCCACAGAACCTACTCAGTGAATCTTCTCAACAGCCGCCCCGCCCCCCATCTAACTGCTGAAGTCACTGACGCACAGAAAGGTTAAGTCACTGGGCTAAACTCACACAGCTGGTAAGCAAAAGATCTAGGACTCGAATTTGTTGGGAACCACTCTGCCTGGTTTCAGGAGTTGTAACTGCCCCCCATGGCTAAGTCTGAGTGAGCGACCTCCAGAATGCGAGCCGCTAAGGAGACAAAGCTTATCTCTGGCAGCAACGCTGCTTCTGCTTCATCCCCTGCCCCCAACACCTGGTCAGTTAGTCAAAGATGGGTAAGACCCCTCAGAGCTGGGGCAACCTAAGCCAGACACAATCACTTGGGGGGCCATCAAGGAAGGACTCAGGAGGCTGCAACAAAGAGGGCATGATGGACCCTCACCCCCCCCAGGCTATTCTGACATAGCCCGCGTCCCCATTTCCGTCTGGGAGAAGCGCTTCCTGGCTCTAATCCACTTAAGCCTGAAAACCTATGATGGGTAAGGCGGTGCAGCCCCTTGCCAGCTACAGCGGGATCCGGGATGATCGGGCATAAGAAAGAATTCCTAAAGTCCTGTGAAGCCTGCTTTGCTACGAGTGCTTTCATTCATATGTTAAAGGTCCGAGCAGAATATGAGTATGTCTCCCAAATTTTCTACAACCCCCTTATCTGACAGACACTGACTCAGATTAAGCCCTCAGATCTCTTTGAAATGTTGTCTGTTTTTTTATCTTTGCCACCTGACATTGATTGATGAGCTTTACCTGTATTCCTATGCGTTCCAAACCTAATAAAAGCCACTGATGAAGAGGTTCTTGGCCCTTCCCCTGTGAGAGATTGGCTACCTCTCCTCCCCAAGCAGATCATGTCTTGTTAGGTTACTTTCATCCATGGCAGACGGGGGGATTTGCTGGCAAAGTTGTCCCCACACAAACCCAGGCCCTGTGGCCCCAAAACCCATGGTTTTGACTATTTCATTTATGGAGAGTTAAAATTCTATAAAAGAATAACATGTGGGCTGAGATGGGAGTGTGGAGCATAAAGCTGAAGCCTCCTAATGTGTTTATATGAGTCGGGAAAACCCAAAAATCTCGATGAACTCTAGAACGTGTCACCTGTGCATGTAAAAATGTAACCACTGAAAGGAAAAGGAGAGTGAGGACAAAATTACATTGGGAAAAAAAGAAAACTCTCTTGAGCCCAAAATACGAAAGGAGAGGAAGGGGGAAAAGCAGCAGAGAAAAGGAAGCAGAAATAGAAAACAGAATAAGGTCATAGGAATGAATCCAAATATATGGGTGATTAGAATAAATATATGTGGACTAACTCACTAGTTTAGAAAAACAGATGATCGGGCTACAGAAATGTTTTCCGGTTATATATTAGTTAAAGCACACTTAGAATTCGAGGACACAGAAAGGATAAATACAGAAATGTAGCAAAAGATAGACAAGCAAATTCTAACCGAAAGCAATCTGGTCTCGTCGTATTTAAATTATCAGACAAAATAAACTATAAGGCAAAGGCCCTGTGAGAAATAAAAATGACTGCCATTCACCCAGGCGATGTAGTGATTTAAATCTGCTACATCAGGGTAACATCAAAACAGGTGAAGCAAAACAGGTGACAGCCACATGGTGAAATGGACACATCTGCCATCAGCAGGAAAGACTGAAAGGTACATCAATTTAGTAAATAATAGATCTAGCAAAGAATATTAACAAGGAGTTAGGAGATTTGTGGAGACATCATCAGCAAGCCTGCTCTATTAGACAAACAGAATCTTGAACCCAGGAGGTTATTTTCAAACATATTGATCATTTACAAAATGGACCAACTCCTGGGCTAGCGAGCCGTTCCGACAATTTCAAACAACCGAAGTCATTATGGGCCTGTGTTGCCTGAGACAATGCCATCAAGCTAGAAATCAACATTTTTGTAAAGCGATGTTTATACTGTGTTTGGCAGGCACGGCTTTACAATACAAGCCTACATAGCAGGATGTTAAGCTAGAAATTTGGACTGAAGCCTAGGCAAGATAGAGATCAGATATCCCAGTGAGCTGCGGCGCAGACCGCAATGGCTCCCAGAGAGAAGCCCAGGACAAGCCAACGTCCTCATCACGGACCCTCCGCCCCACCGCTCCTCCCCCAGCACCCCACAGCCCGACCTGCTCCCGTCCTGCAGGTCTTGACTCGGGGGTCACCCGCTCTGAGGGGCCTACCCTAGCCGGTCTATCTAACACAGGGGTTCGTACAGAGGGGTTGGCACTGCAAAGAAAAGCAAAGGGAGGGTTGACTGAAGTTGGGCGATGCAGCTGGAAGAAGGCAGGAGAGGCATCCTGGCCCCTGCGAAACCCCATCTGCGAGGCGGCCGGCGGCCCCATCCGCTCATTGAGCTGCACACACAGGTTTTATGGGCTCTTCTACTGTGTGGGTTTTCACAGGTAAAAAAAAAAAGACAGTGCACCTGTACTGGTTTCCGTGCAGAAATGCAAGTTTGGCTTAATGTTGGGAAACCAATGAATAGAATTTACCACATCAACAGATCAAAGAAAAAACATCATATGATCATCTACATAACTGTTGTATAAATAGTTGCTACAACCCCACACCTGTTCATAATTTTTTAAATGAATATGCAAACTAGAAACAAAGGGGACCCCTCCTTAATCTGATAAAAATTTCAAATGATTATATTGAGTGGAAAAGTGTCAGAATCGAGGATGAGATGAGGATGCCTGTGCCTCCCTGCTTATAGGCACCACTGCTCTGGACCCGTTTGCCAGGGCAGGGGGTCTGAAGGCAGGAGCAGCCTTAGTGGCTAATAATGTAAATGCTGGTCCAGGCTGCCAGAGTTCAAATCCCGACTCCGCCTGTTCCTGGCTATGTGGCTTCATCTTTCTATGCTTCATTTGTGTCTATCTTCTTTTTAAAAAAGGAATTATAGTACTTACTATATGAGGTTCTTGTGAGAATTAAAATGTTTTTAAAGTAAAGCTGTGCTTGGCACATGCTCCATGCTGCGCATAAATGTAGCCATTATACTATTAAAAAGAAGCCCCCCAAAATCTACAAATTATGGAATTAATAGGTGAGCTGAGTAAGGCTTCTGTATATAAGATTAGTGCACAAAAATTAATTTGTTCTGTGTGTATATAAGCAGGAAAGTTAGAAAATGTAACTTTAAGAAGGATACCATTTGCAATAAACAGCAAAAAAAAAAAGGTTTTTCTACATAAATCTAACCCAAAAAACTGTATAATCTTTATAGAAAATGTTACGGACGGCTATTGAAGGAAGAATAGAATCAATGGAGCTGAATACCATATTCATGGATTGGAAAATGCACTACCCTGAAACTGACGACTGCCCCAGATGGAGCTGTAGATTCGATGCTGGAGGGAGTTTTGCATGGAAACTGGCCGGTTGATTCTGGAGTTTGTATGAAAGAGTGAAGGACCTAGACTAGCCGGGCATTGGCTGCTGCTGGTGGTGCGGTGGGTTGGGGGGTGGGGGAGGGGGGTTTACCCAGCCAGGTAGCAGGCTACTTGTGACACCCTAGTAACTGAAAGTGTAACTTAGACTGGTGGGCGGAGCGGCCAGCCTGGAAACGGATCTGGGCTCCTGGGAAACGGGATGGATCCCAGTCGGACCCTGCAGGTGGCTGGGGGGGAAGAGGAGACTGCTCTGCCCCCGGCCTGAGACCATCGGTAATCCGCCTAAAGGAGGAGTTAAACAGGTTTCACACTCAAAGCAGACATCAACTCCAGGTGGATTAGAGGCTTAAATGTGAAAAGCAAAACTGAAGTTTCAGAAGACTGAGAAAAAGACCTCTATATGACTCAGCAGGTGGAGGGTTTCTTCAACCCCTCCTCCCGGAACTTCCTCCGTCTGGGCGCATTGGATTTCACCTTTCCAGTCATTTAAGTTAAAACCCTAACATCCACCTCAACTCCCCCCTCACACACCCCGAATGCATTCACTAGCCTATTCCGTCCACCTCACACAAACGCCCAGAACCCTGCTACTGCAGACCGCCTTCACCGTGACCTCCACCGGACCCAAGTTGCACCGTGGCGCCCTCCGGGTCACGCCTCACGCCAGCCCTGCTCCCCAGACCAAACCCCCACCTCCCGTCCCTCCTCACCACTCTCTCTGTCCCTGTCCCAGCTTCCCACATCTATTCTCCACTCGGCAATGGGAGCGATCCTTTAACCTAAGTCGGACAACGCCGTTCTCCTGCGTACAGACCCTCCCTGGCTGCCTGTCTTGCAAAGACAAAAACCTTCCCGGGCCTTTCCCACCTAGCGGGTTTCCTCCCCAGCTCCTCTTCCTCCTGCTCAGCCCCCTGAGCCTCACCCACCTGCAACAGCAAGCACAGAGGCTGACCTGGGGTGGGGTGGGGGTGGGGCACAATGACAGCCCTGTGCTAAAGGGGGCGTCCAGATTCACAGCACTTGCTCATTTCTGGAATACAAATCCCACTGCGGCCAGTGTGCCGGATAGCACTGTGACACCAGCCTATGAGGCCAGGAAAATTCAACCACTGCCTGGTGAGCTGGTGCAAGCTGGTTTCTCAGATTGGGTGATGGGTACCCCAATTTTTATGTTAATCGTTTACATTACGGAGACGTTCCTGTATGAGGCGGAATGTAAGAACTACCGATAACTGTTAAGAGATGAATGGGAGGCAGAACACAGGACAATCCGGGCTGTGTTCCCTCTCCCCTCCCCCAGCACCGCCCCCAGTCAGAGCTCAAAGAAAAACCGGGACAGTTCCAGTGGCTGTCTGGTTCCTTGGGTGACGGGGATCTGAGCCAGGGCAGGAGGTTTGCCAGGGCCCCGGGGAAGCTGGAGAGGGCCCGGGGCAAGGCCAGAGAAGGGGAGAGGTTCAGAAAAGCTTGCATTTTGCAATGACGCTGAATTGGGCCGTGGGGGCAGAGAGAAGCCCCTGTGTGCTGGCCTTGGACCCTGATCCAAACAACTCATTAGCCACTTGTGAACAGGGTCCCTAGGCAGGCAGGTGACCCGGAATGACTCAGGGTTCACAGGCAAAAAAAAAATCTTTGGATTTGAGCTTTGGGCCCACCTCCGACTGCAGAGAGGCCCGGGCAAACTCTTCCCATCAGTGAAATGGAGCTAACGGCCCGCACCCGTACCAGACTGGTCCAAGGCTGACCCACAGGACACTGGCAACGTCTCCAACCCACCCTTGTCCCCAGGCAGTGCTACCACCTGGCTCCAGGAAGGAAAAATCCCAGCCTACCAACTACTGAGCATCCACTGCGTCTCACAGGCCACAGGCCTGCAGACCACCCAGAGTGGCCTTGTCATCCTATTGTCCTCATTGTACCAAGAAGGTGACTAAGGCTCAGAGAGGTTAAGGATCCCACGTAGGGGAGGCCACACCCAGTGAGTGGCTGCGCCGAGCTTTGAACCAGGAACCTGAGGTCACCATGACCAAAGGTGCCCAGGCCAAGGGTACAGGGTTGGACACCAGAGGTGTTCCAGGAAGGGAGGAGATGACAGCCAACCAGGATGGGCAACCTGTGCAGCATGGACAGGATGGCCAGGGGACTGGACATTTATAGCACTCGGCCCACGGCCTGGCAAAGGGCAGGCCCCGGGGGGCCATGAAATGAGGGCCCCGGGGGATGCCTCCTGGGCTGTGACCCACAGAGGCCGGGAAGGGGTACACACCCCACGGGCCGCCCCTGCCCCTCGGGGACCATGGGTGCTCCCAGCCCGCACCCTTGCCCTCTGACCTGACCTTGAAACAAGTTTGACCGCATGTTATAGCCCAGATCGTAGTAGTCTGAGAAGATGGAGGCGATTTTCGCAGAGCTCTCGGCCTCGCTGGGCCACACGCTGGCCCTCTTCTGCCCCTCCCAGCCTTCGCCGAGGGCCTTTCGAGCCTGAGCCGGGAGGGGCAGGGGAGAGACAAGGGACAGAGAAGCACGGTCAAGCCCCCTCTGACCCCTCCAACTCTGCTGACCCTGCCCTCACCACCCCTACCTGACCTTCAGCCTGCAGCCTTCGACGGACCCCCAGGGCTGGGGAGCGGGCAGGGCCGAGGCCCCTCCATCCCCTCATCCCACCCCACCTCCCGTGGGTCCGCACATCAGAGAGGGTGGTGGTCATCAACCTCCTCCTGCCCTGAGCCCCTGCTGCATCCCTTGTGGGAGAGGTCTCTCTGTAAGGTGATATTTCTCCTGCCATTTTACAAAAGAGGGAAGCCGGTGCTCAGGGCAGGGACACAGCGTCTGCACAGCCGGGGACCCACAGAGCCCGGCCTGCCTCCCGGAGGCCTCACGCCAGTCAGCTCCAGGGGGCCACTGCACGGAAGCCGACTCCTTCCACGTGCCAGTGTGGAAACTGAGGCCCAGAGGACTGAGCCCAGGCCTGGGGACCAGGAGGCCTGGGTCTGAGTCCCGGTTCTGCCACAGACCAGCTGCTGGCCTTGGGCAAGTCTCTGCTCTTCTCTGGGCCTCTCAGAAAAGAGAAGGGTGACCTCCCAAAGGCTGAGGGGCCCGTGAGAGATAGTGACTGCACCCCAGACCAGGACGGGATGCGCCTGGGAAGGTGGGACATTGAGAGTTGTGACTTCCCCTGCCTTAAGATGACAAACGGGAGGAACCCGGCCCATGGCGTTTTGATTCTGGGCCTTCCCTTTGCTCAGTGTGACCCTGAGCGGGTCGTAGCCCCTCTGAGCCTTAGCTTTAACAACTGTTTAAAAAAATAAAGCAAATCGATTCTGGATCAAAGGTAGACATCTGTTCTTATCAGTGTGACATCCTGCGTTCGAGGACAACAAATAGATTGGGTTTTGGTTGTCCACAGCATGGACCTGGCACTCCTGTACTTCCAGAACAGCACATCACCTTGGGACCCAAAAAAAGGGGGGGACTTGGAACTCCTGCCCAGCCTGTGGCACAACGTCGCGGCTGTGAGTGCCGGGAGGGAGGCTCCGAGTGCCAGGGCAGGAAGAACCCTTCGTCGGTGGCCAGACGTGGCGGATGAATTTCATGTCAACTTTCAGTTGGTCGGGAATAACTCCCTAAAGTGGGGTGTGGGACGCGGGCAGGGACCGGCCTGGGTGAGTGACAGCGGCACAGATGCGGGTGGGATCTAGTCTGACTCGCTTTGCAGGTGTAGAGACTGAAGCCCAGATTGGGGGAGCAACTTATTCCAAGTCACCCAGCACGCGGGGCAGAGCCAGGACTCAAACCCGAGTCTGCTGAGTCCCACTCAATGCGGCCCATCTAGCCAATGCTGTCTCCTCCAGGGCTGTGTGAGCAGAAAGCATTGAATTCAAACACAGGGCTTGTAACTGCAAAGTCATTGAGAGCTAGGGCTCCAGGACCGGCTGGCCCAGTGTGGGCCCTCATCCTGCACAACGGGGTAGATAGAACGAGCTTAATGCTTCCGAAGCCTTGGGCTCCTTGTCCTTAAGGTGGGTACGATAGCACCTTTCTCACTGGGCCCCGGAAATGAGCTGCTGTACGTGAAGCGTTTCAACAGCACACGGTGCCTGGCACGTAGCGAGTGCTCAGTAAACACTGCCGTGTGGCGATGTGGCTCCGGGGACTCTGATCTCCACAGTGGGCTCCTCGGGCTCCTCACCACCAGTCTCCCTGCACCCCCCTCCTGCCGCCCTTGGCCTCCTGTGCCCTGTGCCAGCACCTGCTCCTCGGAGACCAGCTGGTCCACCATGTCGCTCCCAAACTTGTGGCGAATGTTGTCAGGAATGACACTGCCCCTCTCGCTCTGGGCCCCCGAGTCGGGGCCTTGCTTCAGCCCCTGGCACGGCTGAGGCCCCTCGTGGGGGGCGGCCCTGCTCTCCCTCGGGAAGGGTCTGCAGTCCCCGTTCTTCAGTGACCCAGGCCGGGAGGCCACCCCAGAGGGGCTCCTGCTGACAGCTGAGGGGGTTGGAGGCCAGCACCCCTCCTGGCAGGCCTGTCCCCGGGGGCTGCCCGGCGGGTGCAGAGGTGGCTGCGGGGAGGCCGGGGCCTGGCACTCGAACTGGGACGTATCCAAGGGGCTGTGGGCAGTTCTCCTGGGGTCCGTGTCCTGCTGGTTGCTCAGATGGGCCCTGGTCAGAGTGGTCATACCTGAACAGGGGGAGAGAGAGGGCGGGAGAGAAGGGGACAGGCAGACAGATGCAGAGAGTGGGGGGCAGGAAGAGAGCGGCGAGGGGGAGGAGGGGGACAGGCAGACACAGAGTCCCAGGGACCCAGAGCAGAAAAAGGGACGGGGACAAAGAGAAGTCCCGGGAGCCAGAAACGTGGGTGAGAAATTTGGAAAGAGACAAAGAGAGAAGGCAGTTCAGCGGCCAAGCCTCCCGCGGAACAGGGTCGTTCCACAAGGTCGTTGACCATAGGGAAGCTTGCAGCGCTTCCAGGTCCCTCGGCTGGGAGGGACCAGCGCTGGGTCTGGGCCTGCCTCTGCTCCCCATTCTGAGCTGCTCCCCAAGCCTCCCTTGCCTCCTCTATTCCCGGGGCTAAGCGGGGGGGTGCCATCCTAGCCTCGTCCCCTGCTCTCACCCCGCACCTCCACCCCCCACCCACATTCCTGCCCCTGACTCCCAGTCCGGGGGTTCTCCTACTCCCATCCTGTGAGATCTCCTCTTCATCCTCTTCTGCCACCCCCACCATGACCCGGGGCATCGCACCTCCCAGCATTTGCCCAGGCTGATTCTGCCGCCTAGAGACCACCTCCTCCTTTTCCCTAAATCAAAATTCTACCATTCCTTTCAATGCAGTCTCAGCAGGAAGTTCTCCCGATCCCCACCCCCAAGCTTCAGGGCCTCTCCTCCCCTCCACCTCACAACCTGCTCCACGAACCCCACACAACCCTGGGGCTTCCCTTTCTCCACCACCGGGACCTACAAACCGTCTAGTTTCCCTGCCTCGATGCAGGGCAGGGCCATTAAGGTAGGGTCCCCAGCTGAGTCAGTCCTGGTTCTGCCCCAACAAGCAGGCAACTCAGCAACAGGGCCTGCAGGGAAAACTAGGGCTGCCAGGAGGGGAACAGATACCCTTCTCGAAAGGAGTGGAGCCCTGGCTGGTGTGGCTCAGTGGACTGAGTGCCAGCCTGCGGACCAAGTGGTCACCGGGTCAATTCCCAGTCAGGGCACGTGCCTGGGCAGGTGCTGTGCCAGGCACTGGGGACACACAGTGAGTGAGCTCAGTGGGAATTGAGCCCCTCAGTGGGCCAGCTCCTGTCCTCTGGGAGTTCAGTGTCTGTTCAATAAGTGAGTGAAGGCCTGCCGCTGGCCTTCCAGGAACCTCACCAACCCCATCTTCCTTCCACTGTGTTCTTCCCCTGCTGTACAATGGACAGAATAAGCCTGACTTCACTTGCTATTGTGAGATTCACTTGATGCGTCCTCAGAGTTTTCCAAGTTTGGCCAATCATCAGAATTCCCAGGGTGCTCAGTGAGAACACAGATTCCCAGGCCTCCCCCAGAGCTGCTACATCAGGGTCCCTGTGGGAGAGGCGGGGAACCTGGGTGTCTAACAAGACCCCTGGGCCATTCAGGTTTTGGGGAAAAGCTTCTAGCAGGAGTCCCACCACCCACCCCCACTGGCCTGTCTCCCACACCTCAGCTGCCAAACCCAGCTGCCATGCGCTCCCCCGTGGGGACCGCAATGAAACCCTCTCCTTGTCCTCAGGACAGAGCCTCCACCGCCTCCCTGGGGACCTGGCCCGGCTGCCTGGCCTCTTTCCCACTTTGCTGTATTGAATTTCATTCAAACTCCAGCGCCTCTCACCTCTGTCAGACCTTCCCCCACACTGCTCCGGGGCTTAGAACACTCTGTCCCTCCCGGCGACACGGCTTGGCTGCTCTGACCTACCGTACCTCCCCCGCACTGAGACCAGGCCTCCTGCCCTCCCCACCCCCCCATGTCACCCCACCGCCTGCCCATCCGTCTGTCTGTCTGGTCAGTACTGTGTGAAAAAAACGGGGTTCTATGGAAAGGAATGTCACAGGGGGAGCTGATCACAGATTCCTAACTGGGCGGGTCCTGGTGGGTAATCACCAGGCAGGCACCTAACCTCACTACTGACCGCTCATCTCAGCCTCAGGCAAGCCCTGCCACTGTTTCTGTACCTAGATTAGCACACTGGTCAGTGGCCTCTTTTCAGACCCCTCCTTCTGAGGGTGGACCCCCATCAGACGCTGCTCCTCAGACGCATCCACCCTCCAGAGAGCGAGGCATCCTTACTGTCCTGTACTCCAGTCCGGCCCCGCCTCCGCCCACCACCCTGTAGCCTCCCTTCCGCTCCCTTCTTAATCTCAAATGCTTAAAAGAAAGAGCAGAACTAGTTTTCTCCGGAGCATTTGCGATCTTGGTCTCAGGCCTTCGTTGTTAGTTTGGCTCAGATAAACCTTCACAGCAATTCCCTGCAGGTTTGGAGCAGACTTGTGTCAACGTGATGCCCCCAGGGGGCTGCTGTCCCCCCTCTGAGCCCTGAGGAGGGGACCACTGTGACAGGGTCACGATCCCCAGGCCTGGCAGCTGGGAGGGACTCAGCGGTACTCCTCTCCCTTCCTTTTCCTTCCTCCTTCAAACAGAGCACCAGGGGGGGGGGAGTCAGGGTCTCTCAGAGGGTCTGGAAGTCAGAGCAAGACTGAGGGGGAGGGGAGAGGTTGTTCCCGATGCCCCCCAGGGAGTCCCCTCCCGAAGCCCTGGGCATGCACCTAGTGTCCCCATCAGTGTGTCCCTGGTCGGCCATCCTACCTGCTCGGCGGCCCAGCTCCATGCACTCTCGTTCCAAGCTTAGCCCTGTCAGCAAAGAAACAGACTGTCATTTCAGGTATCACAGCGGCTTTGTGAATGGGGACAAGCTGGAATCCCAACCAGGAGGACTGGGGCCATCTGCCCAGCCCCCAACCGAGGTCCCTCTGCACTTTTCCCCCCAATGCTCTCCGGCCCTCAAGGAGCCCCTTGCTCCATCCTCCAGTCAGCCCTGGCACTGGGCCTGCCTCCCGCAGCCCGCAGGCTCTGCCCTTTCTGGAAAGCCCTGGTTGCTCCCACCCGCCAGTGAGGGAGGGCCTCAAAGGCCTTTGAGGTTGCGGGTTCAATTCCTGGTCAGGGCACATAACTAGGTTGTGGGGGTCAATCCTCGATCAGGGCACGTTTGGGAGTCAACCAATTGATGTTTCTCTCTCACCTCTCTCTCTCTCCCCCTCCTTCCCCTTTCCTCTCCCTCTGAAATCAATAAATGTGTCCTGAGGCCCAGAGAAGGAGAGTGACTTGTCTTAGGTCACCCAGCAAGTTGTTCTGCTGGTGAGCTTGAAGCAGTTGAAGAACTGAATTAATCTTATTACCTTGAAAAATCATCAAGCAAAGCAACTTCTTAAATGTTAATTAATTGTTTGATGGTTGTGTCCCTTCTGCTATGACCACCAACGCTGCCTACGCCCCTGGCGTTCATACACTGGGCAAGATGTCCCCCTCGAAAGTGGACCGGACCTAGGGACTTGCTTCAGATCAAAAGAACGTGACAAAAGCGAGAGGATGTCACTGCCCAGTTAGATCGGTGACTGTTCACACTGTCTCTCGGGCTCTTCTTAGCTGGCGGCTCGCCCTGAGGGAAGCAGCTGGTGCGTTTTGAGCTGGCTTGTCCGAGGCTCCCGTGGTAAGGAACAGAGCGGGCCTCCGGCGGGGAGGTGCTCCTGCTGGAGGCCCTTCGTCCAACAGGGGGCGGTAAGTAACTCCGCGCACCCTGCCGCCTGAACGAGCCTTCCCCAGCTGAGCTGCAACAGGGCGGCACAGCCCAGCCTGCACGTCAACTATAGCCCCATGGCAAGCCCTGGGCCAGAGGACACAGCCGAGCCATATCCCGCGTCCTGACCCTTAGAAACTGAGATAATGAACTTGTCCTTTTTTTTTTTTCTTTTGAACTTGTCCTTTTTATATGCATGCAGTTTCATTCAGCCAAGAGCTTTGTGGTAATGTGTTATGCAACAATAGCTAACTAATATATATTTTGGTGCCAAGGATGGGGTGCTGCTGCAACAAAAACCTAAAAATGTGGGTGTGGCTTTGGAACCAAGAGGTGGGTGGAGCCCAGAAGGATTTTGAGGAACAGGACAGAAAGAGCCTAAATTGCCTTAAAAAGACTATGAGTAGAGACTTCCGCCAAGATGGAGGCATAGGTGGAGACGCCGTGCTTCCTCACACAACCAACTTTAGAGACAACTAAATATTAGCAACAGAAAACACTGCCAGAACACAGAAAATTGAACTTTTCGGAAGTCCGTTAACAACAAATTCTTCAGCCTGACCGGTAAGGGGCGAAACCAGCAGCTGGCGGAGTGGGGTTGCACAGGAGGACTTGGTCAGACGGACTCAGGCGCGTAGAACCCAGGCGCAGGGTTGGACCTAGTGAGAGACCCAGCGACCACGGGGAAACAGCGAGGGAGCAGGGCTGCGGGCTGACTGTGGTCGCACATTTGTGTGCAGATGGACAAGCGAGGGAGTGGGCAATTGGACCGGGACCCAGCAGGCTCCAGCGGCGAGCCGCAGTGGAGGGCGCCACCATTTCCCCGCTCTGACCCCGCCTCCACATACAGGGTCATAACCCAGCGACTCTGAGTGGCCCGGCCCAGGGGAACCACCTAAGGCTCTGCTCCTCACCCAGCGGCGTGAAACAGCAGAGGAGGTCGCCATTTTCCTGCTCTGACCACGCCCCCACATATAGCGTCACAACCAAGCGACCTGAGAGTCCAAGGCTCCGGTCCTCATACTTAACGGGCCCAAACAGACCAAAAATGGCTCAAGAAGATCTCAAAGCCCCAGAGCCTATAAATCTAAGTGACCAAGAAATAGCAAAACTCTCAGACGCACAGTTTAAAACACTGGTGATCAGGATCCTCACAGAACTGGTTGACTATAGTCACAAATTAGAGGAACATATGAAGGCGAAACTAATTGAAATGAATGGAACTGCACAGGAAACCAATAGCGATGAAAAGGAAACTGGGACTCAAATCAATGGAGTGGACCAGAAGAAAGCAAATAATGGCCAAACAGAAAAGAGTGAAGAAGCAAGAATTCAAAAAAATGAGGAGAGTCTTAGGAACCTCCAGGACATCTTTAAACGCTCCAACATCCGAATTATAGGGGTACCAGAAGGGGGAAAGGAACAGCCACCAGTGGAAAACTTATTTGAACAAATAATAAAGGAGAATTTCCCCAATTTGGCAAAGGAAATAGACTTCCAGGAAATCCAGGAAGCTCAGAGAGTCCCAAAGAAGTTGGACCCAAGAAGAAACACCAAGGCACATCATCATTACATTGGTGAAGGAGAGAATCCTAGAAGCAGCAAGAGATAAGGGGACAGCACTACAAGGAGTCTAGATTATTTCTCAGGCACTCTTGAGAAGGGCTGAAAGAGGTATTCCAAGTCATGAAACGATAGATTTTAGAAAATCATTAGAATGGAAGGACAGATAAAGTGCTTCTCAGATAAGATCAAATTCAAGGAGTTCATCATCACCAAGCCCTTATTATATGAAATGTTAAAGGGATTTACCTAAGAAAAAGAAGTTAAAAAAACATAAACAGTGAAAGGACAGCAAACTCACAGTTATTAACAACCACACCTAAAACAAAAGCAAACTAAAAGGACAGCTAGATCAGGAGTGGAAACATAGAAATGGAGATCTCAAGGAGGGTTAGCAACAGGGGAGTGGGAGGAGGAGAAGGGGGGAGAAGGTACAGAAAATAAGTAGCGTAGACAGTAGATAGAAAATAGATGGGGGGGGCAAGAATAGCATGGGAAATATAGAATCTGAAGGACTTGAGACACATGGTCATAAACTAAAGGGGGGGTAATAGTGGGCACGGGGGGGTAGGGTGGAGGGGAATGAAGGGGGGGAATAGAACAACTGTAATGGCATAATCAATAAAAAAATAAATTAAAAAATTAAAATAAACTGATTCTTAACAAAAAATAAAATACAAAATTTAAAAATTTTTTTAAAAAAGACTATGAGTAGAAATCTGGGCTTGGAGGCTGTTGCTGCTGATGGTACAAAAGAAAGTGAAGGACACGTTATTAGAACCTGAAGTGTCCTTGTTGTACAGAGACAGAAACTGGGTGATGCTCGTCAGCAGTCACGTGGGAAGCAGAGACGGGGCGATGACCTGGGGGACCCAGCCCGGGGGATTCCCAGACAGAGCCCTGCAGACGCCTCCTGGTTTCCTCCTGCTGCCCGCAGTGAAACACGCGAGGGGCAAAGCAGCGGGTGGAAGGGCTGTTACGGAAAAAGGAGGGAAGACTTAGTAGTCTGGGAACTCTCATCCTCTCCGGGTGCCAGAGGACACTAAAATTGAGAAAAGGCTTCAGAGCGCTGCCAGGAACACGGTGTGATCGTGCACCTTTCGTTAAAACTTCGGAAAGATGAAAGATGCAGAGTGTTGCTCAGAGACACAAAGGGCCCTTCCAAGAGACGAAAAGCTCAGACTTCTCTCAGAAGACGCACAGGGCCCCTAGGAAGCCCGTGGGTGCTGCCTCTCGGCAGGGGTGGCCGCGGGAGGACTGTGTCGGGCGCGGGGGTCACAGTCTCTGGGAAAACCATGTCAGTGACAGTACTGCCAGCTTGGAGTGTAAGGGACGGAGATCGTGCAACGTGCAGACCGGCGGACCTCCCAATCCTTCTGACGGAAAATAGTCTTCGGAAAAGGGTAACTTAGACCAAGAAAATGTCCAGTAGGCACTGCCGAGAGCCACAGAAAATTATTTCTACCCCTCGAAGCCTGTCGAGGAAAGTCCAGCATTCGCCTGGCTGGGTTTCAGAAACTCTATGGGTCAGTGACTCCGTGTTTCCGTTTTCCTCATTTGCATGTGAAGGTCTGCCGCTCTCACCCTGCGCCTGCCACACCATGGTGCGCGGGCAGGTGACTTCAGGGCAGGTAGCCTGGCTTCATGGCTCTACTGATGGAGGGCTGACCAGTGTAGCTCAGTATGTTGGGCATCAATCATCTTGCAAAGTGAAAGGTTGCCGGTTCGAATCCTGGTCAGGGCACATGCCTGGGTTGCAGGCCAGTTCCTGGTAGGAGCGTGCACGCAAGAGGCAACCAATCACTGTTTCTCTCCCTCTCTTTCTTCTTCCCTTCCCCATTCTCTAAGAATAAAGAAATACAATCTTTAAAAAAGAGAAAAGAAATGGCACTCACGAGCCTTATCCACACCTGGACCCGATGCATAGGACCAGATTCTAGGTTTTAGGGGGCTGCTGCTGTGGGATCAGATGTGGGGAGATTTGGGGAGGGCACGGTGTACTTTGCGTGTCATGGGGGGGAGAGGGGGACAGTTGACCTGGCTCAAGTGTCCCCTCCTCCTCGTATTCATCCACTTGGACCGAACTTATTGGCTCACTGCCGACAGATGGGTCCCACAGGAGTGGTGGGACGCCGCCTCCCAGATGAGACCCCCAAGGACGGGCCCGTCTCCTTGGCGCCCTCTGGCTCATCGGGACTCAGCCACGTGGATGACGACAGCAGCTCACCCGCTCTGAGCTGCCCTCCAGAGGGGCCGGCGGCGCAGGGAACTGAGGGTGGCCTCCGCCACCCGCCTGTGCGGGGCTGGGCCCAGCATTCCGGCCACATGAGGGGTCCCTAGTGGAGCCCTGAGATGAGCCTGAACCCCCCAACTGCTAACAGCTTAATCACAGGCTGTGAGAGAACCTAAGACGAGAACCCCCAGAGACACGGTGACACGGTATTGGCGTCTAAAGCCACCAAGTGTTGGCATGACCTGTTCAGCCCGGCAGACCAGCGTGTCCTCGCAAGGACTCAGAGCAGTGTTCAGAGAGCGGTAACTCACCTTCCTTCCCAGGCGGAGAAACAGGGTCTCACCCAGGCAGTGAGCTTTCTGCTCCCGTTCCCTCCCCCAACCCCAGCCACCCTGAAGGGCCCACAGCAGCTTCCCATCCGCCCTAATGGCACCCCCGGTCCACAGATGTGCGGGCCCACTGCAGTTTCTGACCTGGAGGTAAGGCCCCCAGAGACGCCAGTGAAGAAGGGAGGACAGGGTCCGGGTGAGGCTGGGCACTCTTCACTCACAAGCAATTCTGAATGGGGAGAAGGAAGCTGAAACGTGCGTCACAGCGGGCCCCCTGACCACCCCGCCGGGGTCTGCCTGACCTCTGCACTCCTTTTCATAACATCGGAAGCCACGCGAAGCTCTCTGGTGTGTGCCGAAGCCGGGGAGTGCAGATCTGCACAACTGCTGGCCAAGACCAATGGGTGGTTGCTAGGGAGCCGCCCTCCCCTGCCATTCATTGGAGTCTCCACGGCGATCACTATACACAAGGCTCTGTTACCTCAGAGGGCTGATAGGCCAGCCCCAGGGCACAGAGGCCACGAAAGCCAGTACCAAGGGGGGGAAACAGCCCGAGCTCCCACCGTGTGCCAGGCTGTGTCCCAGGCACAGAGGGCTCAGACGCCATCATGTGGGAAGGAAGTTGTTGGTATTACAAAGGCTTAAGCGGAGAGGGTGATTAGTTCTGTGTAGGGAAAAGAAGACGGTCATTTGAGCCAGATTTTGAAGGATGCGTAATAGTTTAGAAGGGACTCAAATATTAAAAGCGTGGATGTATTTATGAGCACCAGGGTAGGTTAAGGGGGGCGGGGGGAGGAGAGGGAAAGATGGACCTGAGCTGAGCTGGACGTGAAGGGACCAGGACGCAGGAGTAAAAGGAGGACAGGTGGGACAGCGAGGGGCTGCCCTCCTCCTCTTGTAACATGAGGGCACAGAAGTGATACAGGGGTAAGTGACCTCCGCAGCGGTGCCAGCAGCTCGGCCTGGCTGCTGCTCAGCAGGAGGAAGGGGGTACAGGGAATACATCCTGCATGCCCCGCTGTTCAGGGTCTCCCCAGGGTGAGAGCACCGTGGTTAGACTTGGGACTCCCAGAGCCTGGGGCCTGCCACTTATTAGAAGGGCGACTTTGTCCTTTAGCTGAACTTTCCTCACATGGGAACCCATGTGACCCACACCCCCCACACCCCCCGTCCCCGAGGCTAAGAGTGAGAAAGTAGTTTTTGGGAAATGCCTAGCGTGTTGCCTGGCACAGAGGGACGCCGCTGTTGACTGCGCTGACCCCATGAGTGACCGGTCAGCAAGTCCTTGGAAGCACGCCAGACTCGGCGGGCCGCTCAGCCACGTCCTCCTCATCTTCCCTGACCCCGGTCCAAGCCGCCACCGCCTCTGGCCTGGACTGACACACTCGCCTCCTCACTGGTTTTCCGTCTTTGCCGCTGTCCCCTGTATGAATCACCGTAGGTGCGAGACAGTGCCGGCAGACCTCAGAGACACCATGGGCGTGCTCCAGCACCACAAAGGGCCCCGACAGAGCAAGTCTCACAAATTCCCTGCACTCCCGGTGCACACAAAAGCTGTGTTTGCACTACAGTCTATTAAGTGCTCAACGGCCTTGTGTCTAAAAACAACGTACACCCTTTCATTGAAAATACTTTAATGCTGAAAAATGCTGTCGGCTGAGCCTTTAGCCAGTTGCCTGTTTGCTGGTGGAGGCCCCACCCCGATGTGGACAGCTGCTGCCCGACCAGGGTACTGGCCACTGAAGGTTGGGGTGGCTGTGGCAAGTTTTTTTTCTTTTTGTGGCGATTTCTTCATATAAGACAGAGATGAGGTCTGCTGTATCAATCTCTCTGTAGCACGTGATGCTGTTTGAGTGTTTCACCCACAATGTGAGCAGCAGGGAACCCCCAGAAGGTGGGGGGCCTAGAATCATCTAGCCCCAGAGGAGGGTTTAGAGATCCCATTTCTGGACAACACAACCCAGGCCCGTGGGGCCAGTGTGCCGAGTGGCTTTTTCCTACTGTGGCCACCCAGCTCACACTGCCAGGCTCTGGCTCTGAGACTTCATCCCAGCAACTGAAGCTGCTTCTCCGGCCCCTCCCCCTGCAGCTCCGAGGGTCTTCTTCTGAGCCTGGAAGGTCTCCTGGAGTGGAGACATCCTTCCTTTGGCTTGTTTCCGAACATCACCTCTCCTGAGGCCCCAGGACACGTTGTGTGACATCTCTTTGACCAGTCACTTGACAGGCTACCTGCCCCCCACCCCCCACACACGCACCCAGAGGGCTGGGACCACAGCAAGTGTGGGTGCCCGGCCAGCTGCGGCTCCACTTCTCTCTGCCTCCTAGTCCCTTTCAGCTAGGCCTCAGTGCGCTCAGCCTGACATGGGACCATAGGCGGCTCCTTGGCCAAAACTAAATAGTAAAGGGGCTTCCCCAGCTGGCAGTTGCTCTGGAGGCCTCCTCCCTTGGTGGGCTCTATGGGAGATGCAAGTATGAGGAGACAGGGCAAAGGACGGGGCAGGGACGGACGCCAGGGAGAGGCAGGCAGACACAGTGACTCAGAGAAAGCCACATTTATTCCAGTGTTGGTGGGGGAAGGAGAGCGTCACCCAGCAATTCTAAACCTTGTTAGTCTCCCTGAAGAGGCAGGAACGAGCCGCAGGTCACGCCAGTCACTGGCCTGGCTGGGTTATGGGCAGGTGGACGGGTGGAGGGGAAGCGCAGTGCTCAGGCCTTCTCGCCCTTACACTGGGACACAATGGTGTCGGGCGGTGCCCGGTAGAACCACTCGAACCAGGAGCCGTCGTAGATGGCCACATCGGGCTTGCCACAGAGGTAGGCGGCCAGGGCAATGTGGCAGGCAGTGACGCCCTTCCGGCACGTGGCAATGAGGGGCTTTGCGAGGTCAACCTTCTTGGCCTCGAACATAGCTCGGAGCGTTTCTGGGCTCTTCTCGAAGCCGTCCTCGGTCAGGAAGTCCATGAACGGCATGTTGACTGAGCCTCGGATGTGGCCTGAATCCAGTCCTGGGCAGGGGCGGAGGACAAAAGGCAGAACAGGGTTAGGAAGGCACAGAGCGGGGGGTGGGACAGCGAGTGGGGCTGCAACCAGCCAAGGCTATCAGGATGGGGAGAAGCCCAAATGAAAATAACATCTCTGCTCTTCTCAGAGTTCGATTGGCTCCCGGTCCTACTACAGTCAGTGCTCAGGACTTCAGGGCTCTCTCCCCCCAGACCTGCCTTGACATGGTAATGTCCAAAATCATACCCACCTGAGAGGACGGGGGTACCCGTCTCAGCCCTACCATTTACTAACCTTTACCTCGGGCAAATCACATCACTTCTCTGGGCCTCAGTTTTCTCATCTGTAAAGTGGGCTCGGTGGTGCAGGCCCCTATGAGAATAGGGTTGCTGAGAAGAGCAAATGACACGATTAATGTGAATGCTACGTGCTGTGTCGACTGCCGAGGACACAGAGCTGGAAGGGAGAGCCCCAGCTGCTCTCTGGAAGGACGGTCTAGCAAGGAAGATGGATGTTAAACAGACATTCGTGGGCTTCACTACGATTAACATGACTCCATGTTACGGGGTACCCACCCTGAGGCTGACAAAACAAAACAGCTTTCCTATGGCCACACGGAGAGGTAAAGACAGAGCTGGGATTACATGCAGTCACCGGGGTTTCCTGGTGAGCACACAGCCGTGGAAGGAGCATATGGCCTGGGGTTAGAAGTTCAAATCCCAGCTCTGCCACTTACCAGCAGGGCTATCTTAAGCAAGCCACATTGCCTCCCTGAGCCTCGGCCTCCCCCCGCCCCCCCCAGAGTGAGTGGGAGTGAGGGTAGTCACGTGCGTCGGGGCTGCCGGGAGGCGGGAGGCACTGACTGTAGAGGCTCGCCCACCCCCCTCAGATGCTGTCGCTTCGCTACCCACCACAGGGGGGCAGGTGAGACTGGGGGCTGTGTGGTCTGTCTTCAGGCTTCTCCTAGCAACACTGAGAGGCTTAGATGGAAGCAGAATAGGGGTCTAGACTGACGTTGGGGCCTATTCCAGAACCATCTCTGCACCCAGTGAGTCTGCCAAATCTGGCTTTAGAAAAGCCAGCAAGTTGGGCAAAGTGGACTGGGGTCACAGCCAGGGCTGGTGCCCCCACCCCCCGCAGGGCCAAGGCCTTGGTCTAGCCCCCAGCACGGCCAGGTCGCTCCCTGCTTCTTCAAGCACCCCATACCTCGGCAGACTGGGCACCGGGAGTGGGGCCTGAGACACGCTGCAGCGTCTCTTCCAGCTCCTACGGCAGCAGCAGGACAGGACCTGACCGGAGCCACCAGGGCGCACTCGGGGCGCCTCTGGGTTTGAGGCTCCCTCCGGTACACTGGGGAGATAAGGCACCCCCCCCCCCCACACACACACACATGGGTCGAAGGGGTAAGTTGGCTGCTGCCAGCAAAAGCGCCTAATGGCCCTGGGCACATAGGCGGTGCATCCCATTCCTTTCACCCAGGGTCAGAGAGGGTTCTGGAATGTGCTGGCATGACCCCAGTGTTCTTTGAAGAGATGTCCAACTTATAACATTATAGCAACTTCTTCCTGTGTGATTGCACCTTTTTGCCTGGAAACTTTAATCTGGATTCCACATGTGCTGACCCCACCAATGAGGAGCCATTTGTCCATTTGTTGGCTTTGAGGCTGTTCCTTGCCTAGAAACCCAAAGGTAAAATGTTCGGCGTCCATGCGCTGGGCTGGACTTGGTGCATTTCAAAGCACAAGCGTTTGCTGAGTGATGAATGCTGTTTTTCCTTCCCCCATCCCCGATGAAATGGCTTCATTGTTTTCCTCTGATTGCATGAAAGGCACCTCTTCGGAGGAAAGCAGTCAGGGGGTTTCTGCAGACCCCCAGCCTCCCACCCCCTGCCAGCCCTGGTCCAGTCCTCTTTGCTGTCCGGGCTCAGGGCCTGGCTGAGGCATTTAGACAAGCAGGAACCCCCTGCCGGGGTGGGGTAAGGTAGGGCAGGGCACAGGGGGGATGAACCTGGCCTGGAGCGCGCTGCAGAATAGCCAGCTGGAGCCTGGAAGCTCCTCTGCTCCCCTCTGAGTCCAGCAGCAGCTACAGGCTCCCCACGCCCCCTCCTGAGCAAGCACACCAGTACGCTCATAACCACCTCTGGGATCGGGTTATCTCAAAATAACAAGGGGTTATCTCAAGAACCAGCCCCAAAGGGGAGCCCGGACTCAGAGAGGGGAGGAAATTTACCCCAGGACACACAGTACAGGTTTGTGGAGTGGGGTCTGTCTGGCCCCAGAGCCTGTTGTTCACCACCCCGAGCTTTCCCGGACAAGGGGGCTGAGGTGGGGGAGCAGATGAGACAACCCCTCGTTCTCCTCATCTGCTCGGAGGTCTGGGACTTTGTGCTCCAGCTTTGGCCAAGAAGATGCCAGTCCAGTCTGTGAGGCTACTGACAGGTGCGGCTTTTCAGAGCCAGGAAAACCTGTTTGGCTCTTTCTTCCCAAAGACACTAGAGAAAACCACACCCGTGGCCCCAGTAGTTAGCCCCTTACCCTGGCCACTGGGAGGCATCTTGGCACCCTCCCACCCCCTCCTGCCCCAGCCTCCAGGCCTTCTAGGGAGAGGCAGAGGCAGAGGGGCCCCATGACGCCGGAGCGACATCCCAGAGCCGGCCCCTCCTCCCAGCCGTTTCCTCACACAGAGTAGTCTTGAGAAACAGCCGGCTTTGATGACGCCTGCAGGCTGGGGTCAGGTCCCGGCCACTCTGCCTCATTTCGTAAGTCCTGCCCCCCACTCCCCACCTGCAAAGTGGGATCAACTCTAAACCCCACCTGCCTCCCCATGCAGGGCCGGGGAGGGTGCCAAATATTTAAATATTTAAATATTCAGGTGTCCAGAATATTTAAAGGGTTCTGCAAATCGAACCTTCATTGGGGACAATATCATCCCTCTTCAGCCTCGCCCCTCCCCAACAGGGCCACTGGGGCAGAGAGCAGAGGTTTATACAGATGCTGAGCTGGACCAATCCCCACCTGTTTTCTCCCTTCCCCCAGCTCCTATAAGGATTCGGGGGCAAAGGGACTTGCTCAGGGCCGCATGTAAATGCTGCACCAAAATATGAACTCAGGTGCCTGGCTCTCACCTCGCTTCCCTTTCAAACAGGACCCATGGCACGTGTTGGGGGGCAGGGGGCACCACGCCGTGGCCAGAAGGGGCATCACATGGCCTAAGTTGCACAGAAAGTGGCTGTCGGGTTTCTAAGGCCCTGCTTCCAGCTCCTCCTGGGCGACACACCTTCCAGGGAAGCCCAGGGCCACCCACATCCCCCTCGGTGTCACATCTGGACTGCCCAGCCCGCAGGCTGCCTCCCTGATCTCACCCCAGGTTGGTGACCAGGAATTCAGCAGAGCCTCCTGTGCCTTTGTGTCCCCCAAATGTCTTGGAAGGCCAGCAAAAGCCTCTTAGAAAATGAGAAAGTGCCAGGTCCTCCCTGCCTTTCTAGGTGCCCTGGCCTCTGCCCAGTTCCTTGCCCTTCTCAGAACACCCTCCAGCCACTGCTACAGTTAAATGAATATGCCCCACCCCCCCGGTGGCGGATAGGGCTGACATTACTCTTCTGGTTTTACAACAACAGAACCCAGAGAAGCTGAGCAATTAGACTGAGGTCCCATCACAAGGGAGGAGCCGACCTCAACTAGGACCTACGCTCCCAGGGCTCCGGAGGGGAACTGGAGGGGGCGGGGGTGCTTAAAAATGCCAGGCCTCCAGGAGCCATTGCCTGTCTCCCCTCGCTGTGCCTCAGGCTCCCCATCTCTAAAATGGGAGTGAGGAGCCCTGGCTGGTGTGGTTCAGTGAACTGAGGACCATCCTGTGAATCAAAAGGTCACCAGTTCGATTCCCAGTCAGGGCACATGCCTGGGTTGCAAGCCAGGTCCCTAGTTGAGACATGTGATGTTTCTCTCCTTCTCCCTCCCTTCCCCTCTCTCTAAAAATAAAATCTTCAAGAAATGAAAATATAAAATAAAATAAAACAAAACAGGAGTGAGGAGACTGGGTCTGGGATCTCTAAAGTCCCCCTGCACTTATTCTTGGGTGCTTCAGGACAAGCTGGAGAGCAACTAGGGGAACAGTTCCACATTCCTCCACCAGTGGAACTTCAGCCTGAGAAGAGAACGAGTCTTGAACCAAGACCAGCAGGGGCTGCAGGAGCTCCGGGCCAGGAGGCTCTGGAAGGTGCCAAACAAACTTGCATCTTCAACTTTGGACCTTCCGAGAGCCAGCCAGGCCAGGGCGGGGGTTGGGGGGGTGGGGCGTGGAAACAGCCTGGGAAAAAAGCACAGTGGGCTCAGCAGAGCCCTGCATTCTCCTGCCTTGCCCACTAAGTAGCCTTGTGGCCCCGAACTGCCCCCCTTCCTCTGTTTGCCTCAGTGTCCCTTCTGTCCAGTGAGGTGACCTCTCAGGGCCTCCAGCTCACAGTGCTGGGAACAGCTTTCAGAGTCTTCTTCCTCAAAGGCACAAACAGGAAGACACTTTTCAACAATGGAGGCACAATGTTGCACAGAAGTGAGACTCTGCAGAGGCGCCCTGACAGAGGAGAGGCCCACCTGGGCCATGAGCAGCTCCAGGTGCTGGGTGCCCTGCCAGGCAAGAGCAATGACAAGACTGCCAACAAGACTGCCAAGGTCTGTGAGGAGGTTCTAGGTCTCTGCACTTCCTCTCCGGAGACGATCCCCACGCCCAGAGGTGGGCAACCCTCGGTGGGAGAGGGATGCACCACACACCATCCCCCTGAGGGTGCCTGGGTGGGGGTGGCCGAAACGGCAGTGTGTGCTGGCTCAGATCACGGGTCTGACACTGGGTAGCATGGGTTCACATCTTGACTCTGCCGCTGATGAGCAAAGTTCACATCCGGGCACCTCAGTTTCCTCCCCTCTACCATGGGGATACCAAGCCTCACTGGATGAGATAACACAATGTCGAGTGCTCGGCATGAGAGGGCAGGCGCCGTTGCAGCCCCATAGACGGGCTGCAGCTGTTTGGAAATGTCAGGGAGCTGGGGAGACTTCAGGTGGGGGATACTGGGGAAGGACATTGCTGAGGTCCATAAGGGTTTCTAGGGAAGAGAGGCCCAGAAGCTAGGTGTCCCTGAGATGCTTCTGTAATGAGTGACTCCTGTGTTGCCTCAGAGACACACCTCTGGGCATGTGGGGAGCTAGTACCTGGGTGTGGATGTGGGTCACCAGTCACCTCTGGTAATACCACCAGTCTCCAGTCAGCTTGTGCCTACGGGGCCACATATGAAGGTCCTCCTGCACCAGAGCTGAAAAGCCTTTAGGTTTGGCTCCACTGTCTCATTTTGCAGATGGAAAAACTGAGGCCTATGTAGGGGTACTGAGGGCAACACCTGCAGACAGCTTTACTCCCCACCTTCCATTGGGCATTCCCTCTAAGGAGCATCCCACCCACTAGGACACCTACCTACGACATCTGGCTCCGGCTCGGTGCCCAAGTACCGCCCTTGGGGCCGTGAATCCACCAGCTGGAACCTCCTAGACTCAAGGTTCTCCAGCACCTGCTCATAGGTCTTGAGCAGAGAGCGGTCAAATGTGGCTTTGAAGACTGCCGGCTCTGGCCGAGAGGGCTCAGACGTCACGGGGTGGCCCTCCTTCATCCAGTTCCTGAAGCCACCATTGAGCACCGACACCATGCGGTGGCCGAACAGGCGGAACATCCACCAAACCCGAGGTGCATAGTAACTTCCCAGATCGTCACCATCATACACCACCACGTGGGTGTTATTGCTGATGCCCAGGTGGCCCACGTAGTCTGCAAAGACCTCCTGGCTGGGCAGCATCACCTCGTAGGGTGAGGACTTATCCTTGCACTCCTCTATATCAAAGAAGGAGGCACCAGGCACGTGGCGCTCTAGGTACTCCTTGTGCGCATCCCGGGTGCCTGGTGGATACCAGGATCCATCGAGTACCCGCAGGCCAGGCCCCAGCTTCCCAGACCGGACTGACTCTGCCAGCCACTTGGTGGAGACCAGCGCCCGGTAGAGCACCTGTTGAACCATGGTTTCAGCTCTGCGCTTCACCTGGCGTGGGCGAGAACCAGGAAGGAGATTCTTATGAGGATTGCGTGCTCAATGTGGTGGGACCTGGGAGGAGCTTTTTTCCCCGACCAACCCTCCAAGACGGCGCGTTTACAGCAACCCAGCGGTCTGCGGTGTGTAGGGCAGATTAACTAAGGAAAGCTTCTCCACCCTTCCCTGGGTCCCCTTCACGGAAGAGGGTGTCAAAAGAGCTTCTGAGGTCTACAGGGGCGAACTATCCCTAGAAGCTACAATCCTTGCCCTCGGGATGCCAGGGCAGAAAAGATGCCCAGGATGGGGGCAGACTGCATGGGCTTAGAGCCCTCTTTCCTGGGAGGGTAGGAGAGTGAGAGCGTGGGAGAGGGATCGCTGCGGTCCCACACCACCCCCCCACCCCTGTCCTCTGGTCTCGCAAACCTTCCTGTGGTTTCTAGGCAGCTGGGGCTTGCCAACCCCCAGTATTCCCGCGTCTGGCCCCAGTTCGGTGCCCTCTGCCCTAACTGGGTCAGGGGTTCCTGGGGTATCACACCCGCCCTCCCCACGGGCTCCCTCCCCTGGGTCGCAGGTGGCCAGACCGGTGGCACAATCCGGAGCGGCCAGGGCGCTGATCGCCGCCCCGACCCCGCCGCACTTACTCGCCCTCGCTGCAGCCCCGGATCACGCCCCTGCCGGCTGGAGAAGTCAGTGGTTCAAACTCCAAAGCCTGAACTACCCAGCCGGCCTAAACCATCGCACCGCTGCCCACGGGGGGAACGCACGCCACTCACCTCGGCCCTGCGCTGCCCGCCATCCCGCCGCGATCGCTCCAGACCGCCACACCGCGTGCGGCATCTCTCAAATCCCCGAAGACCCGGGGGGGAGGTCGGGTAGCACCGGGGCGGCACAGAGTGAAACTCGGCGGCGCAGGCGCCCCCCAGACCCGGCCAATGGAAGGCGCGAGCAACTGCGGCTCCCAGTGGCTGCGGCTGAGGGCTGTGCCCGAGTCTCCACCCGCTGGCCGCGGGTTGTTGGCGAGAGGAGGGGATCGCTGCGGACGCGAGGAGGGGGACCCTTGCGGCGGGTCCTATGGCGGAGCCTGGAGTCCGAGAGCCCGAAACTGGGGTAACTGCTCAGGCGTCCCGTTTGATTGCCTTAGGGGGAGGCCGATCGTTGGAGTGCGTGGCGCAGAGCCCCCTGCGGGGCCGCAGCAGACAAAGGGGCTACAGTCTTGGACGGAAGGCCCGCCCTTGGGTTTGCCCCAAGCCTGGCCGTCTGCGGCAGCTTGGAAAGTCCTGCAGGGTGGGGTCTGAATGGCGAGTGGGGAGCCCTCAGTGGGGGAGGGGGACACTTGGTGCCACCAGAAACGACAGGAGGGAGGGAGGGGGAACTAATATAGCCTGATAGGGTCCAACTGACCCTGAGGTGCCAGGAGGAGAAACTGGCAGAGAACTTGCTGGAGTGAAATGAAACTACTAACATGTGTCAGGGCCTGCGTGGTGAGGCACTCTTTTCTTAGGGCTGTTGCTTAGTTCCCACAACCACCTGCTGCTTATTTAAAGACAGACCAGAGAGAGAAGTGAGGCTGTTTGCCCCCGGGGCACCCCGTGTTTTTGAGGTCAGGTCTGAAGCCCACTGGGCACCAGCTGCCTTTGTTTACCTTGCCAATCTTGAGGCCTCATACCTTTAAAAATAATTGCCTTGGTTGTTTTTTTTTTCACTGAATTGTAAGTTTATATACTCTAATTTTTCACAATGGCTGTGTTTAACAACTACTTCCTGAAAATCTCACCACTGGCAGGACCACACTGCCCTGCTCAGCCTTTGCACGTGCTGTTACATATGCCTGGGATGCTCTCTCATCCCCTTTACATTTTTGGTTTATTCTGAAGTCATTCTGTTCTCACAGGAAGCTGCCAAAAGCCATGCTTTGATAAGCATTTATCCAGTGAAGGCTCTGAGCTTTGTGCTTTGCAGTGGGGGCAGAGGGGGTTCCCCAAAGGTCAGGGCCAATACGAACCCTGCCCTTCAGATGGCGGCCTGGGGCTCACCCTTCCCCAAGCGGGGCTGTTTACCCTCCTGAGATGGGCCCGGGGCTGTTCTGTGTGTCCTGAAGTCCTTTCCTCCCAGAGTACCACCCAACCACACTGGTCCAGGCCTGCCAAGCACACAGGGACATGACCCCCACCCGCCCCTCAGGGACACACTGCTGGCTCTCCCAGACCCTCTACCTCCCAGCCTCTTAGATTCTAGGTTTGCAGCTGTCCTTTCAGAGGCCTCCAATGAGAGTAGCTTTGAAGAAATAATGGGATTCATATGAAGCTGTCCTGAATGATTATTGACACCAGTCAAATACAGGGCACCATCATGGCCCTCTGCATTCGTCATTCCGTCTTCGCTAAAAGGCCGCATTATAAGACATGGAAATGGCCCTGGCCGGTGTGGCTCAGTTAGTCCGAGCGGAATTCCGGTGTCCCATAACTGAAAGGCCATGAGTTTGACTTGTGGTCGGGGCACCTACCTAGGCTGCGGTTCTGTCCCAGGTCTGGTGCGGTCCAGGCGTGTATAGGAGGCAATCAGTCGACGTCTCTCTCTCGCTTCTATGTTTCTCTCCCGTTCTCTCTAAAACGGCAAAGAAAAAAGTCCTCGAGTAAGTGTTAGGAAAAACAAAAAAGGAAATGGAAATGGGCCAGGGAGCCCAACCTCACATAAATTGTTGAGCTGCAGAGTGAAATCTGTACTGATTCTTCTCACTCTAAATGTATCCTTAAGGGGAAAAAAATCAAAGAGCCCCAAGAATGGTGGGGGTCAGGGGCTGCTATGGTTCACAACTGAGGTCTCAAGAGGAGGCCCGCAACACCCCTCAACATCACCAAGCTGTGGTGGAACCCATGGGTTCTGGGATAACCCTTTAGCCAAAGCCCCCTTGGCAACCTCCTCATTTCAAGGGTCAAGCTCCCTGGGTCCTTGAAAAGGTCAAATCAGTTTGGGTTTCCCCCTCCACCAGGAAGCCTTCCCACCCCAGGCTGAGCCAGTGGCCCCCCTGAACTCCTACCGAACCTTAGCCTTTCCTTAATGTATTGTTTCTCAAGCAGGCCTGTGGCAAGTGTCTCAGTGTCCAGCACCTGTCCTGGCCCGGTGGGCAAAGCGGTTCCTAGAAGTTGGCCTGCAGGGAGACTGTGCAAGGGGCTAGGCCCTGGTCATCAGTGGCCTAGGGCCGGGGAAGAAGTCCAGCCTCGAGAGGGGAAGCCTGGCTTCAAATCCTGAAGCTGCCTGTGCCTGCTCGGCCCTTAGCTTGTAGCCTGGCCCAAAAGGCCCTCCTCCACACTCTTGTTCTCTACCTACCCACCCTCTTCCCCTCCGTGGTGGGACTCCGTATCCTGATGCAGATACAAAGATTGCGCCCTGCCCAGGGGTTGCCCGGCTGAGGGGCTTGGCCTAAGGCTCTGCCTCTACTTTGAAGAAGCAGCGCCTTTCTGCCTTTCTCTAATTTGTCGGCTGCTGGCACAGGGGCTCTGTGTGCTGGGGGCTTCTCGGCTTTGGAAGGCTGTGGGCTGACCTGGCGGCGGGCAGGTGGGCTGCTGCACTCTGGGCTGCTGACCCCTGCGCAGGGAAGTGGAGGGGGGAGGGAGTGAGGTGCTGAGTCGCTGTTGCTGCTGCAGTGAAAGATGCAGAGAGAAAGCTCAGGCTCAAGGGGTAAGGTCTGACCTTGCTGGACTGTGGGAGCCTGTTCGGGGCCTGCCGCTGAGGCCTGGATCCTGCCTGGTGTGCAGTCTGGTGTCTCCACTTCTCAGCTATTGACCTGGGTCAAGTTAGTGCACTTCCTTGAGCCTCGGTGGCCCCTCTGTGGAACAGTGAGAATAACGCCAAACCTCTTGAGGACACTCACTCCAGCCTCCTCTGCCGTGTTCCAGGGTGTGGGGAGGAGTAAATGATGCACACAGCCAGGACCCAGCGAATCCCAGCTACTCTTTCTATTAGGCCGCTTATGAACGTGTTTGTTGAATGGGTTCCACTAGGGACCCTGCCTGGTTGGCAGGTGTGCTGCGCCCATCGAGTGGGGGCTAAGGCTTTTGCCCCTGCTTGCTTTAAAGTGCCAGCAGGGCTTTCCCCTGCTTGGGTCCTCTCCCTTTCTGCCCCTTCCCTCTCCCCTACTAACCAACCCCCTCCCCCACCGCCACAAGCAGAAGTGAGGGGCCCTCCTGGCCCCTCAAGGGGTCATGGTCATTTGGTTACTGTGCTGGGTATAAATCCTGGCAGCGGAGGGGAGAGAGAACTGAGTGACCCAAGTCTGCATCTCGGTTTACTACTGCTGATTTTCTGCGTTCTCTGGTCTCTGCCCTGCCCCCCACCACTGGCCTTGCCCCACCCCCAGCCTCCTGGATGAGGGGCGGCGTTCCCGCCCCCCAGCAGGCCTCTTCCTAGATTCCCTCCTGACATTCTCCCTGTCTCCCAGGCCTGCTGCCCCAGTGTTGCTAACGCCACTACGCCCCCACAGCAGCTCTTCCAAGCTCTGGTGTCCGCGCAGTGGGTGGCGGAGGCGTTGCGGGCTCAGCGAGCCGGGCAGCCCCTCCAGCTGCTGGACGCCTCCTGGTATCTGCCCAAGCTGGGCCGTGATGCGCAACGCGAGTTTGAGGAGCGGCATATCCCTGGCGCCTCCTTTTTTGACATAGACCAATGCAGTGACCGCACATCGCCCTACGACCACATGCTGCCCAGCGCGGCACACTTCGCGGAGTACGTGGGCAACCTGGGTGTGGGCGCCACCACCCACGTTGTGGTTTATGACGCCAGCGACCAGGGCCTCTACACTGCGCCACGCGTCTGGTGGATGTTCCGCGCCTTCGGCCATCGCGCAGTGTCCCTGCTTGATGGTGGCTTCCGAAACTGGCTGCGCCAGGGCCTCCCGCTGAGCTCTGGCAAGAGCTGCGCGGTGCCCACCCAGTTCCGAGCCACTCTGGACCCCACGTTTGTCAAGACGTACGAGGACATCAAGGAGAATATCGAGTCCCGGCGCTTCCAGGTGGTGGACTCCCGCGTCGCCGGCCGGTTCCGGGGCACGGAGCCTGAGCCCCGAGAAGGTAACAGACTGGCCAGAGGGCCTGGGAGGGGCCCTGGGGCCCCGGTCAGGCACACCCTGGGCACTGTCCTTGCTGTTAAAGAACACGACATGGGGTAGGGACCCGAGGTTTGGTTTCTAGTCACTCTCTGAGCCCCGCTTTTTTCCTCAAGTGGGGCAATAATACTTGCCCCCCCACACATACTTGGGGCAATGACTACCCAAATTTGTTGGGAGCCCAGGGTGCCCTGTGTATGTGTGAGAACCCACAAAGCTTCAGCGCAATCCTATGGGTGTAGGGGTCACTGCAGGACAGGAGGGGTGGTGGGCACGCCCAGTGTGGGAGAGGCTCCAAAGAGACGGGGCCTATGCCACCCCGGGGTGATGGAGTCCAGGAAGAGGGGGAGGCCGAGGAGGACAGGGAAACCCCTCAGAGGGGCCAAGGCTGGGGGGCGGACACTAAATAGAGGTGGCTGCCCCAGGCTGGGGCAGAAACTGAATAGAGGGGGCTGCTGCCTGGGGCTCAATTCTCCAGGCAAGAAGCCTGCAGAGAAGCTCCATGTGAGTCAGAGAGGGGTCTCTACAAAGCGGGCGACTCAGCGGCCACTTGGTGTGAGCTTTTTAATGATCCCTCAAGGTGTCCACTGTCACCACAGAGAAGAGGAGAAAATGGAACCTTAGCGCTGCAACGTTGCCGTAGGTGTCAGGAAGCGGCCAGGCCAGGAGCTGAGGTCCTGGAGCCCGTACACGCAGTGCCAGCAGGTAGCCCGTGATTCCCCAGCCACTCCTCCTCCTGTGCCTGCTTCCCGGAGGGGGTCGGGAACTTGCCACTTCCTCCAGGAAGCACTCCCTGCATGGCACCCCTGGGCCCCCGAATCAAGGCTGCAGCTTCTCCGTGCTGGCAGAGCTGCTTGGGCTCACCCCGTCCTGGCTCTGTTTTGGGTGGCCAGAGGGCAAGGTTGTCCTTGTTCCCAGTGCACCCTGAAGCTCATCCAGCGGCTGGAAGAGTTGGTGCCTCAGAGGGTTTGGTAGATTCTGAAGGTCCCTGCCACATAGAACCCTGCCGAGCAACATTGATGTTCAGTCAAACCACGTGCAAACTGCTGGTACCCAACCATTTTTAAACCTACATGGGTGGCAATGTCATGCATTTCAGCTTCACAGAGGATGCCACCTGACCCCTTTGGGTCCTTCAGGTTAGCCCCCGGGGAGTGAAGCAACATAGGACAGTGAACCAGAACCAGACCTGGGTTCAGAGCCCTGCCCCGGCCTGCACTGGCTGCGTGACATCTGGCCGGCAGGTCACCTAATCTCCGAACTGTGGCTTCTGCATGTGTCAGGTGGCAACAGAGCATGGAACTTAAAGGATGTGGTCGGCATCAGATGCCACATGGCAGCAAGCACGTAAAGCACTCTGCTCCATGTGGGCACACACGGTGCACACACAAGAAATGGGCGGTGACATAGTGAGCGCGTGCCTCTCTGGTTGACATGCCTGCCTCAGTCGTGCCTGCCGCTCTGGGAAATGGGCGACAATGACATGGCCCCCAGCAGGTCTGTTGTCACGCTGGACTGAGCTGACGTGTGTCCAGGCTCGGCCTGCACCAGTGCAGAAATGCTCTTCGCATCAGTCCCACTCCCCTGCCCGGGGCCTGGCCAAGTGGGCCTGCGGTGGGCCGCACGGTTCCAGCAGGGAGGGGAGGCCTGCTTTGCTTGGTGGGGCTGAAGGTGTGGGGACAGTCCCCCTCTGGCAGGAGCCAACCTGGGCTGAGAGCTTGCTCTGCTTCTTTGCTCCGGGCTAGTCTGTTGCTAACATGTCCCACTGACCCCACTCTCTGCATCTGTGAAGGGGAATTGCGTGACACATTCCAACCTCACCGTGGACTCGAGTGCTGGCTATACATGAAGTCCTGAAAAGAGATAGTGACGTGGGTCAGCAGCTCCCTGTCAGAGCGTCATCCCCCTGCAGGGGGGAAACTGAGGCACAAGCCACCCTAGAGGCCAAGTGGCCGTTGGGGGCTATTTTGTCGCAATATCAGCCCTTGGTGTGAACATGGGAATGTTAGCAAACACAGGCCTAAGAGGAGGAGGCGGTGAGGACAGAATGACCAGTGGTGAAAGCAAAACGCGCGCTCGGGAGCCCGGGAGCTTCTGGAGGCGTGGGCGAAGGGGCCGCCCTCCAAGCGAATGGTCTCCAGCCTCGCCCAGGCTCTTCCCACTACAGTCCAAATAACCTTTGGAAAACGGAAGTCTTGCTTCCTCTCTCGGTCATGTCAGAGCTCTAAGGCTTAACCCAGGCCTGCGAAGGTGGTCCCAACTGTCTAGACTTTTGCTCCAATGACCTTCAGCCCCTCTAAGCACCATGCTATTCCCTGTCCCTTAGAAGCCCCTCTGCCCGGGATGCTCTCAGCCCCCACGGCCCAGGCCCCTCGACATGGCTGAATCCTAGTCACCCTCGGGGCCTTCTCAGAGACCACCCCTCCCCGGCAGTGTTGCCTGACAGTCAGCGCACAGGCTCCGGGACCTGTCGGCCCACCCTGCCTTGGGCAGGTGAGTCCATGTGCCTCCTCATCTGTGCAAAGGGGAGGGTGGGAATTTCGTTCCCATAGAGTTTGGGGAGGATTCAAGGAGAAACTGCAGCTGAGGGGCTGATACCGGCGTCCAGCCCAGAGCGAGCACTCGATAATGTCAGCCGTTATCACCTGTGACGTGCCCCACGCAGCGGGGCCTTTGGGAGCCTCCTCGTCCTTGTAATTACCCGGTTGATGGCCTGTCTGCCCTGCCAGATCAAAACTCCTAGACTGCCCTTGACGCCCATCCCTGCAGGCAGAGGTCTCATTTATCTTCATTGCCGTCAGGAAACCTGGGCAGCCTGTGGCTCTGGGGGGCCCAGTCTGGGGTTTAGGTTGCAACCAGCAATTTGCTAGTGGCACGACCTTGGGCGGTACTGAACCTCGGCACCTCCGTCTGTGAAGTGGGAATGCCCGCACACCAAGCCCGGGCCTCCAGCTGTGCGGACCGCGTGAGGGGGCGCACACAGAGGGCTCTGCGCCACGGTTGTGGGGGAGGTTCTCAGTGCTGCGGGGTCCACTCAGACCACCCCTGTATTTGTTCCCTCCTCCTGCTCTCCTGCTGCAGACATTGAACCTGGCCACATCCCCGGCACGGTGAACATCCCCTTCGTGGACTTCCTGACCAGCGAGGGCCTGGAGAAGAGCCCTGAGGAGATCCGCCGCCTGTTCCAGGACAAGACAGTGGACCTGGCCCAGCCTCTGGTGGCCACCTGTGGCTCCGGTGTCACAGCCTGCCACGTGGCTTTGGGGGCCTACCTCTGCGGGAAACCTGACGTGGCCATCTATGATGGCTCCTGGGAGGAGTGGTACATGCGGGCCCAGCCCGAGGAAGTCATCTCCGAGGGCCGGGGGAAGACCCACTGAGGCTGGGCAGGATGTGGCCTGGGAAGCTCTGGGGACACCCAGCCACCAGCTCTGCCCCGCCTGGTCGTTCGGATGCTATTGTCACCGGAGGAGCATTTCTTCCTCCAACCCAGGTGGCACACGGAGTGACATCCCAGAGGCCAGGAGTTCTTTCTGATGTGTGGGCTCCCAGTGGTGGCGGAAGAGAAGGTGGCAGTGGGCCCGGGAAGGGGAGCCACCCACATGTTGCTAGGCCCCACCTCCATTGTGTTTTACATTTGACAATAAAACAGCCAAGTGCTAAGTGCCACCAACGCTGGGACTGCCTCGGTTTCCTAAGCGCGGGGGGCTCCTTGGGGCCTGAGGGTCTCAGGAACCTGTCCCTACCTCTGAGTGGCAATGGGGCCCCAGAGCCCTTTCATCCCTGTAACCGGAATGCCCCCAACAAACCGTCCCCCAGCCCGTGATGTTGGGGAGGGGGTCTCCCTTCCGGAGTAGTCAAGGTGAATCTTGCCGTGCTGTGTCTGGAGTCCCACCCAGAGTCCCCAGTGGGTCAGCAGGACACCTCATTTCCAGGCAGAGGTGGGTCCAAAACCTAACGGGAGCCTGTACCACACCGTGGAGGCCCGCCCCGGCCCAGCAGGGTACACTGGAGGATGGCCGAGTTTAGTTAAATTGGAGGAGAATCTAATTTTTAATTTGTTTGGGGGGATGTAATTTTAGACTCTGGGAGACCACACTTGGAGGCTCACCTCCGGACCTGCTGGGTGTGGGCAGACCCTGGGGGGTCCATCCTTTCTGTGCAAGGAGAAGCCTTTCCTCATAGCAGGACTCCGTTCCCCTCCCTCCCCCCATCTGTGCAGAGGCGGACAGATATTTGAGAAGGCTCCAAATGCTCCCCGTCAGAACGCAGGCCAGCCCTGCGCATGTGCGAGCACCCCAGGCACCTGTCACTCATAGACAGCCAGTGTCAGCCAGTTTCAGGGGGACCCCAGCATGAGAAAAACAGGGGCAGTGACTTTCCTGAGGTGACCCAGTGGGGTTACAACAGAGCCAGGACCAGACCCAGATTTCCTGACATCACATTTCTTCTGATGATGCTGGTCACCTTCCAAGTCCACGGGGCTGGGGGGAGCCCCCAGGACAGAAGCCTGGTTTTCCAAATAAGAGCTCCAGAGTAAACCCCAGCCTTGCTGAGCCTCAGCTGCCTCATCTGCAAAGTGGGGATAGTATGTGTTCTATTGCCAGAAGGGATTTCAGGCAAGGGCTGTCCCTGGAGCCCAGCGGAGCCCCGTCTTCCCAGTCAGGGTGCCTCGGCCTCCGCACTGGGGGACGTTTGGGCCAGGTCACGCGGGTGCCTATGCCCTGCAGGGCAGCATCTCTGGACTCTACCCACTAGATGTCAGTGGACCCCTCGGTTGTGACAGTCAAAACCGTCTCCAGACGTGACTACATATCCACTCGTGGGTTGGGGGCCAGAAATCACCCCCAGTGGGAACCTCTGCTGTGGGAACAAACACTGCAGTCGACCTCAGCGGTCAGGAGTGGTGCAGACAGGGACCTCCTCGTGGAGAAGCCCTTCCCCTGGGGACGGAGGGCAGCAGCCGAGGAACCTTCCTTTGGTGCTGGCCTTCGACAAGCCCCATTGCCTCTCCTGGGAGTGTCCCCACTCCTCCAAGGAGCAAGGTTTGTCTGCCAGCACATGGGAGCTTCTGATCCAGCTTCTGTCTCTGCTACCCCATGCAAGGCTGCCTGACCTTGGACACATTTCTGATTGTGTTTTTAGGGCAGGGGAAAGAGAGGGAGAGGAACATCGATGTGCAAGAGAAACATCGATTGGTTGCCTCTTGCACGCCCCCAACTAGGGACCTGGCCCAAAACCCAGGCATGTGCCCTGACTGGGAATTGAACTGGCGAATTTTCAGTTAACAGGCCAGTGCTCAGTCCACTGAGCCACACCAGCCAGGGCCATATTTCTGAGCCTTGGTTTCTTCATCTCTAAAATGGGAGCAATAGTACCTTCCTTAAGCAACATGGGGATTGAATAAGAGAATCCATAGAAACTGGCCAGCTTGGTGCCAGGCACAGAGTCAACATCCACGGTTACTGTTATTTTTTAAAAGACTTATGCAGCATGTCGAGTGCTCCCTGTACTCCGGGCAGTGCAGGGAGGGAGCAAGGAAAGTGAGAAGGCAGCTCAGAGAGGCTGAGAGCTTTGCCTCAGGGCACTCACCTAATTTGAGAGAGGGACTCAACTGGAGTCAAAATTCTCAGCGCAGGAGCCTCTTCCATGAGCCTCGCCTGCCTGTGGGGGTTTTCTAGGAGGTCTGGGAACACAAGTGACAAGCTCATGTAAGATGGCCAAGTGCCTCCCCAGCTCCATGAGGAGACTCCTCGCACTGTGGGATACAAATAAGCAAGGGTGTTCGGTTAGTCTCCCTTTGCTCACCCAGTCCACCCCCAGCAAGCGCGGAGGCCAGTCTGAGTCAGGGCATCTTCCTCCTGGGAAGGCCGTCCTCGATGGGTCTGGACAGGTTCAGAGGAGCCCAGCCCAGAGGCGGGAGAAAGGAGGTGGAGCCGTGCCTTCTAGTGTTCTCAGAACTTCACTTGAACTTTACTGGCCAGCCCTGAGCATTACTCCCCGCCACCCTGCCTCCCACAAGCCTGAATTTCCAGAATAATTAACCATTCTCTGCTTCGCTGCAGGGGCCAGGCCGCCCATCCACTGTGTATATTGCAGGCAGGAGCTTGCAACACAGACTGTGGGGACGATGCCGTTTTTGTCCACTGGGCAAATACTTGCTGAGCACGCCTCTGGGCCAGGGACATCTGGAAGGTGCCCAGCCTCGTCTAACCATGAGTGCTGGAATAGGGCCATTGTCTGGGTCTTCCCATGAGGGCTCATGGCCTGAAGAAGCCCCCACCCCACACTGGGGTCAATTCTGTGCAAGACCCCAGAAGGTCTGTCTTCTAGGCCCTTCTGGCTGGGCCCTCAGCTGTCACCTCCAAAAAATGGGAAGAAACTCGGCCCCGCCACCCACCCACACACAGGGTGGGTGTGATGTCAAATAAGGTGAAGCTCAGACAATAAGCTCTCACTCCTACTGGAACAACCCAGCCATGTAAGCAGAACAGAGATTTATCGTCCTCCACTTACAGCGAGTGAGTCACCTGGGAGGAGATGAAGTCTTCAGGTTGACTGACACTTTATAATTTTAAGCACCAAACTCTTTAACACATTAAACTAGGAGGGGGCGGAACGTGGCATGCTGAGGGCGCCCAAACTCCTCGAGGCCTCGTTTCACTGCTTTATCGCACTGTGATACCCTGGGGACCCCTTCCACTTTCCCCCGGACTAACTGGCCCCAATGGATGTGCCTGACCAGGGCTCCAGCTCGAGAGTCCCCACCTGCATGGGGCCCCCCGTTCCAGGGGCTTAACTCACTGCTGAACTGGTGGGGGCTCTCAAATCTGGCCTGCAGCCGAGGGCAGGGCTCTGATCCCTGCGCCCACTGCCCGCTCTTCTGGCCGAGTTCCCTGACTCCACATGCATGGCCACCACGCAGGGGTCAGCCTTGCTCAGACCCGATAGCTCTCGGGCAGATCCCAGGTTAGGAGTGGGAGGGGGTCCTGGATGGAAGGGCTACAGGGCACTCAGCCACTGCAAGACAGAATTGGGGAGGGTCACAGGAGAGAGGTGGGGGTTCTCTCCGAGTGGGGGGTTCCTAAGCCCCCTGCAAAGGCACTGGCATACACACATGCTCACCCTTTGCTCACGGGTGAGGACCGAGGGAGCCAGAGGCTGACTGACATGCTACAGGCGTGCTCAGGTCCGTTTCTCTGGGACTCTTGTGTACAACACGCACCCCCTCTCTTCGAAGCGTGCAGTGGCAATCAGCAGGAGGAAAGGCACAGCAACTGGCTGAAAGCATGCAACACGCTGCAGAACTGTGTGGCTCAGGGTGAGATGGGGGGCCCCCCAGAAGGCCCAGGCGAGCTGGGTACCAGGGAGGTTTCTGCGAGCTGGTACCCCAGGAACACCAGTTCCTGTGCACTTTCTTCCCACCTCTCCTCCTGCCTCCCGTAGCCTTCCCCCGTTTCTGAACCATAAAAGGCTTAAAAAATCAGGTACCTAATGAAACTACACACACGCTTCCTCGTGATCCAGCAGTCCCACTTCCAGGAGTTTGCCTTGAAGGCGCACTTCCAACGGCACACAAGTCCTTCCACACTGAGTTGCTCGTTACAGCATCATCCGTGGTTGTGAAGTACTGGGGGCCGCCTGAAGGTAACCATGGAGAAGGACATCTAAAGAGGCTGCAGTCAGGTCATGGTGGAGACCTGTGCGGATGTGACAAGAACAAGGAAGGGCTCTGAGAAGTGGGTGGACTGACTTCTGGGACACATTGTTCAGTGAGAAAGAAGCAAAGGGCACGAGGGTATCCGTGGGACACTGCCTTCCATGGAAGAAGGGAGGGGAAGTAAGAAAACGTGCGTGTATCTGTCCATTCCTGCAGAAGAAACACAGGAAGATCGACCAGAAATGAACAGGACCAGCTGTCTATGGGGACAGGTAGGGATGGGCCAAGGTGACTGCGGTGACACTGGTCTATGTCTCTGAATATGACTTCTTGCATCCTCTGACTTTTAGAACTACTCCCTGTTCCGCATACTCTGGAAAATTAATTAACGAGGAAGGGGAGGAGGAAGTGCTAACATCTACGGAAACAAGTGAACCTAACTGGGCTTCAAATAGGTAACAGCACAGAACAGGGGAAAACTAACCCCATAACTCACCCAAGGGGTCCTTGAATGTGGTATTTGGACTGTTTTGACTATATATCCTCCATGAAAAGACAAAACACACTCACCCTAGGAATAAATATTGAACCCTTTTTATTGGCTTGTGTTTCGCAGTTAATGGATCACTGATTATGAAACGAGGACTGAGCAGACTTTGTGGATGAGGGACCCGACCTCCCCCCCGTCAGGGAGAGGAAAACCGAACTGGGGTGAAATCCATGCAGTGGGGTTGGAACTGGAGGTACCCGTGTGATCTCGGGGTTTCTAAGGCAGATGTAGACACAGATCTAGCGCACACGCATGTGCGTGCACGTCTCCCAGCTCTAGCTCTGCTCGCTAAGAGGAGCTAGAAGCAATGCCACCCTGGTGCTACAAGCCTCCCTGGCGCTCGGGCTCTGCTCTTCACGTCATTATCCAACCAAATGATCTGGAGCTGCCAGGACAAAGGAAGGGCCCCAGAGCCATGGGACCACGCTTGTCAAAAGGACACCAGAGCCTGGAGGCTGGGGTC